AGGCCCTGAAGTTGACATCAAAGGCCCCAAGATGGATGTTGGTGCACCAGAGGTTGATCTTCATGGCCCTGAAGGCAAACTCAAAATGCCTAAGTTTAAGATGCCCAAATTTGGAATACCAGGCATCAAAGCAGAAGCTCCTGATGTGGATGTAACCCTACCCAAAGCTGATCTTGACTTGTCAGGCCCCAAAGTGGACATTGACCTAGAAGGGCCAGAGGGGAAGCTGAAAGGTCCAAGGATTAAGATGCCAGACATAGACCTGAATCTGAAAGGCCCCAAATTGAAGGGGGACATTGATGTCTCTGTGCCAAAGTTGGAGGGTGGTTTGAAGGGCCCCGATGTTGATATCAAAGGTCCAAAAGTGGATGTTGATCTTCCAGATGTTGACCTTGAAGGCCCTGAAGGAAAACTTAAAGGGCCCAAGTTTAAGATGCCTGACATACATTTTAAAACCCCTAAAATCTCTGTACCAGATTTTGACTTGAATTTGAAAGGCTCTAAAGTCAAAGGAGATATTGATATGAAAGCTCCCACACTAGAAGGTGACTTGAAGGGTCCAGAAGTAGACATCAAAGGCCCCAAAGTGGACATTGATCTCCCAGATGTTGACCTTGAAGGCCCAGAAGGAAAAGTGAAAGGGCCCAAATTTAAGATGCCTGAAATGCACTTTAAAGCTCCCAAAATTTCCATGCCAGATTTTGATTTAAATCTGAAAGGACACAAATTAAAAGGGGATGCAGATGTGTCCTTACCAACATTGGAAGGTGATCTGAAGGGCCCAGAGGTTGATATCAAAGCACCTAAACTTGATGTAGATGTTCCCAATATTGAACTGGAGGCTCCAGAAGGAAAGTGGAAAGGACCCAAATTTAAGATGCCTGACATGAACATCAAGGCACCTAAAATCTCAATGCCAGATGTGAACTTAAACCTGAAAGGATCTAAAGTCAAAGGAGATTTGGATGTCTCAGCCCCAGGACTGCAAGGAGAACTTAGAGGCCCAGAAATTGACATCAGAGGTCCCAAACTAGACGTTGATGCACCTGACATTGAACTTCATGGACCAGAAGGAAAGCTGAAGATGCCAAAATTCAAAATGCCCAGGTTTGGCATGCCCGGCTTCAAAGGGGAAGGCCCAGATGTTGATATAAGCCTCCCCAAAGCAGACCTTGATGTTTCTCTTCCCAAAGGAGAGATTGAAGCACCAAGCTTGGACATTGAAGGCCCAGAAGGAAAAGTGAAAGGTCCCAAATTTAAGATGCCTGAAATGCACTTCAAGACACCAAAGATCTCAATGCCTGATATTGATCTGAACCTCAAAGGTCCAAAACTGAAGGGAGATGTGGATGTGTCTGTCCCAAAGCTGGAAGGTCCAGATGTGGATATCAAGGGTCCTTCATTGGATATTGATGCACCTGATGTAGACATTGAAGGTCCTGAAGGAAAGTGGAAAGGTCCGAAGTTTAAGATGCCTGAAATGCACATGAAAGCTCCCAAAATCTCCATGCCAGATTTTGACTTTAACTTGAAAGGACCCAAAGTGAAAGGAGATGTGGATGTCTCAGTACCGAGCTTGGAGGGTGATCTGAAGGGCCCTG